AAATTTAAGAATAATTTTTTAACAAGCACCCGTGTAATACACGGGTGTTGTACTAGTGATAGTTAATTAAGATGAAGATGTGTAATGCTAATGTTGTTCCACGAAAGATCTATTACATATTACTTAATCATTAATTCGAATCCACAAACAATATATATAACATTCTTCAAATATATTTTTATGGCATCAAACAAACTCATAAAAACAAAAAAAAACTCCATAGTTATTTGATTGTTGATATCCACGATCCTTACTTTTAAGTGAGATTAATTTCATCTCATTTGAAAGTTTAAACCTTTTTCACTATTCATCATTCATCACCTTTTTTTATCTTCAAACCCTTTTTGGAGACTATGTTCTCCCACCACTTTATTTGTTTATCTTCAAACCCTTTTTGGAGAATATATTCTCCTACCATTGATATGGAAGATATCAAAGCTGTTTATGCTTCTTCACTCATTTTATATGATAGTAACAACAAAATAATATTATATATATATACATACACATATACAATGGCGGGTTCAAATAAAAATTATTTCTGAGGTGAGAACCATTTTCACAAAACATTAATATAAATTGTGTTGCTATTTTAGTGAAGTACACTCTAGTTAAAAATAGCACTAAACACAATCAATCATAACACTACGTACAATTTTTTTTTCGAAATGACAAATTTTATAGAATAAAAAACAAATAATTACAACTGTCAGCTAGAATAAGCCAAGTGGCCATCGAGCCGAATCTAGCGAGAGGACTACACACATAAGTGTATCCTATAAATAGCCACACTAACGCACCCACTACACAGGTAACTAAACGTTCCCACAAGGAGAAAATCAAACTTCTAAAGAGAAGAATCAAACTTATAAGAAGAAGAATCACACTCCTAAACAGAAGAATCGCACTCATATAGTAAGAAGAATCTAACAGAACCTAACAACACCCAAAACAACACAAACAAAATAAATACATAATATTAGAGTAAACCCTTCCCCCAACTGATCACAAACTGCGATGCCACGAACACAACACCCGGAGTCTATGGCCCACATGGATGGGGACCCAACCCGAACATAGCTTCAGAAACTCCAGAGATGGCTAATTTGGCTAACTGAAACCGCATCAGGATCAAAATTACCACCTGAACGGACCACCCCAGTATGGCTACCGGAGGCCAGCTCCTTCTCTTCCCGCACAACAAACTCAGACTGCGGCCACCAAGCATAACCCGACAAACTCCAACCACCTGTAGCCAAGGCCACATCCTCCTGCCCACAGCCCGAACCTGGCCCGACTCTCCAACACCAGGGAAGAACGGAAACAGGAAAAAAGAGAACCTTACCTCTGCTCCGACTAGCGTGAAGACGATTAGAGCCTGCCGCTCGAACTCCCTCAGCGCCCACCGAAGACTCCTTGGACATAGTCAACCTACAGAGCGGCGAAACACTACATCGGAGAGGGTCTGTCGACGCTTCAAAAGACGAGCTGCACGGACCGGAGACGGCCGGCACCGCGGCGTCACAGAGAGCTCAGAAGGGGGAAGGCGACGTGAAATTGAGGATGATGATTTTTCTGATTTGGGGACATTTCTCCTGCGTAGAGAGAGAACTTCTGATTTTCAATTTTATTGTACTACGTACAATTAAAAATAACAGTTTTTATTCTTCTCACGCTAAGACTTGATTCTCATCACTACAAGAAACAGTACATTTAGTGACGCTTAATTTTTAGTTTAGTGACGCTCGTTAGTGTCACAAATAAATTTACCTACACTTTCAAAAGTGTCACGAGTTGCATTGCTAAATTTGATGTTACGAAATTAATTCTGACACAAGATCTATGCGTGGGTAATTTTTACTATGCGACGCTTTTTACAAGTGCGTCACTTTTGCACAATTTTTATGACTCAAGATGTACGCGTCATTAATTTTTAATACACAACGCGTTTTTAAGTGAGACATTATTATAATTAATTTTGGCGAAGCAAAATGAATGTGTTGTAAGTTGACAATGGATGAC